CAGCAACTTTTAGAATGGCCTGAAATAGTGGTATTGCAGTTTTTCTGCTTGCAGAACTAAAAATGTCTGCTCATTGATGCAGAAGTTCTGAACCAACAGAAAGTTGATCCCAAGGCTTTGTTATAAAATGTTAAAAGTTGAATGTTGAAATGATAGAATTATATGTTCCAGTATCGAATGTCTGTTTAGATACACCTGTTTGTGAGGAATTTTGCCAAGACTGGAGATACTTACTTGAATCAGAAACCAGAAGTGCCTTTTTAGTTACTGTATGGTCTTGATTTTGTATTTTGGAGTTACATCAGTGCTGTTCATATTCTTACTTTTTATATTCTTTTTAAAGTTGGTAGCTAGCTCAAAAAAGTAAGTTTAATGATTGGTTAAACTGATAAATTATTAGTTGTTCACCCTTTTCCCAGTTAATGTACTCTATACTCTTTTGAAATCTTCTAGAAAAATAAGTGCATACTATTAAAGTATATTATTTTCTTACAAATACTGTGACATAGTGAGGTATATATTTTTATTTTAATAAGTCAAATTTACAACTGTTTGAATTAAATAAATGATTGTTTTATTGATGTCATGAGCATGAAATCAATAAAGACTTTCCTTTTTTTTAATTTCCTATGAATATCTGCATGTTTGTCACTCAATCTGATGACATGAAACCCAACCAAAATACATCCCTAAACCTTTCTCAGCCACGAATGCGGATGGTCTTCGGCATCTTTTCAAGATGAGGTTTATAGTGTGAGCTGAAAAGCAGTTTAGAGAAGTAAGCTGGCATTGGGTGACTTGTGTTGGGCAGGCCACATCCTCTCGGAGTAAACCGAAAGGATTGCAAATATTTTGATGGGAATTTCCTGATCTGCCAGCAGTAATCTTGCCCTGTGCATAAAATGTCATTATACAGTAAAATATACAGTGGCCTAGAAGTTCATATGAAAATGTTCCTCCTGTTACTTCTGGCAAATAGCTCCATCTTAAACCATTTTCTGGCATTAGAGGTGTTCCTGTTCTATCGTGAGCAATGTGTCCAGGCAACATTTTAATATTCATGACTTTTTTGGAAGCTCTTTCATGTCTTTATAGTTTATTAGCGTTTGCTTGCTTAAGGTTTAGCCTGTTTTTAAACTTCTGTTAACAATATTCCCCTGTCTCCAAAACTATCCTTTTACTCAGATATTGTAGCTCTGAAGCCAGAGAGCTTTGGGAACAATTAAGGAGCAAGCAGGGGCTCTGAAACAGGTAATCTTAAGTTTTCTTTTAAATAATGCCAAGGGATGCAACAGCACACCAGGTAAGGAGCACGTTTTGTCTTGTGTAGTGAGTGTTTTTTTCTTAAAGGGTCTTTGAGAATGATACTTTATTTTTAAAAAGCTATAGCAAATTTATCTTAGCTTAGAAGCGTTGGGAAAGTATAGAAATTACTAGAAATAGGCCCTGGTCCAGCCTACAAGGGATTGCGGAGACAGGATCAGAGGAGTTAATATCAGTGGGTGTCCTCTGTGAGTAGGAAAAGCTACTTGCCCTGTGGAACCTAGTATCTACAAGAAAAAAAAAGGTGGACAGAGCGGGCCTTTATGAGGTTTTGCTGTACGTTTGCCATGAGGGACACTAAATAAGGACGTCTTGGGAATTTCCAACTAATAGGTGAAATGTCAGCTGCCCATCTACAAAAAAAGGCAAAGTAGTAATGTTATTTGAAGCTCTTCAGGGCAGCTTAACAGTGTCTCATCCTGGTAGACAACGGTTCCCACGAATAAAATGATACTGTGGCACAAAGGAGCACAGCAGTTCTGCCTGCTGACTGATTCCAGAAGGAAGACGTTGTGGCTGAATCGTAACCAACCTTCGAGCTAGTTCAAGTGTACGAAATCCACAGAGATAGCATAATACCTGGAGACACCACCAGAGAGGAATGCCACTTGGAAAGATAACGTAGAGGGGTAGTGAAAGAGAGAGAAGAGCATTCCCTCGTGTTGGGGCCAGAATCATAGAATCATAGAATGGTTTGGGTTGGAAAGGACCTTAAAGATCATCTAGTTCCAACCCCCCTGCCATGGGCAGGGACACCTTCCACTAGACCAGGTTGCTCAAAGCCTCATCCAGCCTGGCCTTGAACACTCCCAGGGATGGGGCATCCACAACATCTCTGGGCAACCTGTCCCAGTGCCTCACCACCCTCTCTGTGAAGAATTTCTTCCTGATATATAATCTACACCTCCCTGATATCAATTTGTACCCGTTACCCCTTGTCCTATCACTACAGGCCCTTGTAAAAAGTCCCCTCCCAGTACCCTTGTAGGCCCCCTTCAGATACTGGAAAGCTGCAATGAGGTCTCTGCGAGATGCAGCACTACTTTAGGTCATGCCCAAAAGCCACTGATATTATTTTAAGATATTAAGAAGAAAATTTCCCACCGGCAGACGTCACATCTGACTGGTGATGTTTGCGTGCCGAGGGCTGCGCCAGCCCAAGGGCCCGAAGGAATCCATTCAGGATAAGGAAGCCTGACCCTTTCACTTGAGCAAGGCCAGGTTCCTGAATAGTGACTTAGAACCTGTAGAGCGTTTTAGCTCATGTCCTGACTATTTTCTGCCTAAAAGCGATTCCCATGCTGTCTGCAGGATTAGCCAAATGGCTAAAAATTCAAATTCCCCTAGAACCAAGACAGATACTAACCCTGCAATGAAAGAACACTGCCTAGGTAGCATAGAAATCCTGCTTCATCGTTGTATGTTTTAGTAAATGCTCTTCTTTAAGTCTGAACTTGGTTCCGTTTTATGGTACTTGAGGATTCTTAATGCTGCTTTATCTTTCAGTCACAGGTGGATATTATATTTTAGACACAGCTCAGGAGGAATAAAGGGATTATTTAGAAAGCTAAACCAACAAAAACAAGCTGTCTCCAGGCTTTTTCTGCATGGGAGACATTTACGGCTGCCTCAAATGTGCATAGTTTTCATTGCTTGTAAGTGAATATTAATCTCCTGGATTTCCCCTTTCAGAACAGTCTTTAATTTGCTTCCCATGGCAGAAACAGGAATTTCCTTGTGGGTCATATTTCATGGTGTGTGTATTTGTGCATGGACTATAAGAAGGCAGGCACAAAGCCGGGCAAGGACACGTCGTGTTTTGCTGTGGGAGGCAATACAGGGAATCTGGAAATAAAGATGGATTTCTCTAAAACCTTCCACACCATAAAGACGTTTTGCCTGTAAGTATCAACACAGTTTGTTTTCCTGCTCTTGATATTGTATTTTTGAAGTTTTATAATAGCCTACATCTTAATAATTTGAAATGTTTTATTTGCATATTGACTGAAGTGCCTCATTGCATTTCAAAAGGTTGAAAGCAATCAAATCTCTTAATGCCAGGCATACAAAAATCTGAGGGGGTGTAATCATGGAATTGGCATTGTCTATTCTGAATTAGACATAACCTGTTTAAAGTGTTGCTTTGAATTGACGAGAAAAGACAAAAACGCAACAATTAAAACTTGTTGCCAAAACGCAGAGTGAGATAGCACACAATCTCAGAGTTTTTTGTTTCCCACCTGCAAATCTTGACTTTACCGAAACCTGGAAGAGACTTTTGTCCTGTCACAGGCTCTTGGAACATTGTTTTGCAAGATTTGCCAGTCACGGTGACTCTGTCCGTCACGTTGAATAGAATATTACATTGCCTTTCCTTGCAACCCCAGGCGTGTGCCCCCGCTGTTGACACTAACAATTCGACTTTGTGTGCAGTTGGTTTTAGTTTTGGAAATTGCTTTTTTGTCCTTTTTTTGTGGTAGGCAATAGATGAAAACCGTAGCAGTAAATTTTATAAGTGTCTGTAACAGCATTTGTACAACAAATCTTTCTCCCCAAAAGGGAAAATCACAAACGTTTCCCTTAAAAAAAAAAAAAAAAAAAAAGAAAAGATACAGACAGAAATGCTCTGCAGAGTTCTCCAGTGGACCAAAGTTTGCAGTGAGTCATTGTCATTTACAGCATAGTATTGCCTGGAACAGGAGGTGTGGAAGTCTGTAGCTTTAATTGTGTGTCAGAGGTAAAATTTTGTGTGTAACTCACCCCCTGTCACGAGTGTGGCCAGAAAATAACCATTTCTGACCACCACACCTGACCATACCATGCTTAATTTTGGCACCATGGAGTAAATCACTGAAGAAACAGAAGAAAGGAAACCCCTGAATATCTCAGTCCATAAACATCTTAGTCCAGCCAGGGAGCTCAGCAAAGAGCTAGAGAACAGCACTTGCCATTCTTCAAATTTTCCCACAAGAGGCTCTGCAGCTTCAGGTGGCACGTGTTCGAGACTCTCTAACCTCGTGGCTAACAGACAACTTCAAGCCAGATTACTAAAAGGGAAGGATTTGATTTTGCAAGGAATGAGAGCTTTGGGGCAAGGCAAAGGGAAACTTCTCAGAAGTTTCCTAAAAGATGTTACAAACAGATGTGGTATTACAAATTGGAAACGTTAAGTGGTGATTGGAAACAGTAAGTACAGGTTGGATATGTAAGGCAGAAACATACATGGAATGCAATATTCCTAGGTTACAGGTGTTGGGGCTAGTGCAAAGGAAGCAACAAAATTAAATTTTGTTGGTGGGTCTCACCACTTCCTAGGCAGATTATCTCTTTGGCCTATATACATTTGTAGTTTGTATTATTTTTATTGTGTAATTAGAATAAACATAGTATCATAGCATATAGTGTACAAATCACTTTGTAATATAAAATATGATGTATAATAGTGAGCTTAAATGAATAATAATTATTATAATTATCTGTATAATTTATTAGATATTTTTCTATGCTTATTTTATATAGTTTAATCATCACTATGAAAATAAACACTCGTGAGATATTTGTTATTTTCTCAGGCAACTGTGCATGCAGTGAAATGCTGCTCCGCAGCAAGCAAAGCCGAAGGAGTTAGCTTCAACGTTTTTGCTCTCTTTACTCTCTGCTTGGAAGAAACAATCAGGATGGCTTCTACAAGTAAAAGAAATTCTGCAGGTACAAAATTTAATTTATTAAGGTTTGTCAGTAGTAAGGTTGAATCAGGTTTCAGTGCACTCTTATCAATATATGATAACATTCTCTTTGTTCTCCTCTTGCCAAGGATTTTGAGGTAAACTGTAGGTGATAAACAGGGGAAAATACAGTACTGAAAAATTTGGAGATCTCATCTGGACTTACACTGGTGTTAATTCTGCCCCTCTGCTTCCTTCCTTAAACAGTCTGTCCTAAACGCTTTATAGCAGAATTTTTCTTGCCCCTGACACAGAGGTTGAACTGAAATTTGTAAAAAATGTTAAAATCCCTAAAAATTACCTGGGAACTGGAAGATGCAGTCAGTATCTCCAAGGTACTGATGATGAAGCCTTACCTCCACTGAAGACATTAGTAAATGGGATTTCAGAACCAAATGTGTCTTGCATCACAGTTTGCTGATGTTATAGTTTCCAGAACTTACGTATTTTCTCTACTGTCCCTTTCTAGAAGATCCAAAAAGAGGTTGACTGCTCTTTTCGGCCACTGGATTCTTAAAAAAATCTTACACAGTTTATAACTTAAAAAATGGAATGAGATTGCCACTCTGTTCACTGAGTGTTAAAGTGCATTAATAAAACTGAGATTTTGATCAGAAATCCACCAGTGATTGGAGAATGTGAGTCTTAAAACTACAGATGGCCACAGAGTAGGCAGGGTGGTGAAGAAATACATTCAGGCATTTCCCTCCCACCCCAAGGGTTTAGCTCATGTTTAACTCGTAAGAGTTTTCCCGTTGTCACGTCAGGATTCGTGGGGTAAGATGACCTATCCTTAGCTGTGTTTGTAACCTCTCCAAACTGAATGCCATCTACAGATTGCATCAGCGGGCTGTTTACTGATCTTCAGATCACTAGTTCTGACGTTAAGTAAGACGAGACTCCAGAAGTCAAATAAACCAGAAGCTCGTTAAATCTTCCGAGCCCGCTACATTGTCACTGCCATCTGTTTACAGTTTGGGCCAGTTGTCAGCAGTGACGATGACAAGGAAGCGTGGCCTGGCCCTGTATTTTATAGCTTTGACTTGTGTTTGTCTTCTCTAACTATAATGCGCTTTATGACCACTTAAGCACAGAAACCCAGTGCTCAGCAACATTTTCCAGTTCAAGCAGGTCTTTGTAAGGGATGAATTGGCAACTAATAGTCTAATGGTGCTGTTCATTTCTCTTGGATCAGTGAGAACTCAAAATACGTTTTCCCCTGAAGATGGAGTCTGCAAGAATGGATTCCTCATCAAATCACCCCCTCTTCAACTTTTCAGCTCACAGGTATATTTGTAATTTTCCAGCAGTCCCTCAACAAGCATCTGTTATTTCTGCTATCCTGAATTTTAATGAGAGACAAATTACTTTCTCTTCGGCAGAATTCCTGGAAAAAGCGTTTTTTCATCCTGTCCAAATCCAGCAAGGGCAATTACATCCTGAAGTATCTAAAAGGCCAGAACACAAAAGGTTCCATAGCTGTTGATCAGTAAGTAACTCAAATGCATTACCTTTTTATTTTAAGTCATGTGTCAACACTCTTAAATGGCTGTTGATTCTACAGACACCTGTAGATTCCTGACTGAGGTTCTTGATCCAGATCCCACTGAAGTCCAGCAAATAATCCCCTGGGTTTTTGTAAGCTTTGGGTGCAGCTTACAGTATATGATACACGTAGAAGTAAAAATCCTAAATTGCTTTGATGAAGTTTTCTACATTTATGTGAGTGACTGTGGTGATGTGGTATCTGCAAACCAGACGTCTTGTCTCCGTGATCCCAAAGCCTGTATTCCTGTAGTAGAAGACATTTTATCTCCTGTGAGGGCAGTGCTATGCATTCGAGTAAGGATGGGCTGTGCCACTCTTTTTTCCCCCCCTTACAGCTTTACAGAGTGCTCTGAAGCTGTGCAGGGGTCTCCTGGCTTTCATGTAGCCCTTTGGGCTGATGCTGCCTGCCCCAGTGCCCTTACTCCACCAAGAAATTGCTCTGTTTGGCTCGTTTGGGTCGGTCATTTCATGCCTCTCAGCGCTGTGCACACTGCAGCAGGGGTGGGTGTCACTGGCTTTGTACTAGCGCCCTTTACCATGTCACGTGTGCTATGAGCTACGGAGAAGGGAAGCAGTAAACGTAAAGGGAAATGCAAAGGTTTTACCAGTCGGAGCTGGAGCTTGCTCAGTGGTATGTGGTTACATTATTACCATCATTATCGCTGTTATTATTTTTACTGATTTCACTCCTTGGAAGTTGATGGAAGTAGAGCTTCTATTTAACTATCCATTAAGAGTAATTTTTGTCTGTTCCTCTTCCCCTCCATTAACACTGTTCATATACAATTAGTTTCAAATGAAATGTATTGTTCTGTAGTGGTTCAAAAACATCTGCCAGGAATTTTTCTTACTATCATCTCTGTTCAAGATTCTGTGTTAGACCAATAGCTCCTTTTTTCTCAAATGACCATCCAAAATCTGCACACGAGTCTTTGTAAAAGTTTATTTTATTTTTTATCTTGGAAGTTTTCTTCACTGAAAGGCCATCTGTTTTGAACGTGTGCGCTTAATCTCTTGAGATTTTTTTCTATGGAAAAATGTTTACCTTTTCCCATGCAGATCTCACCGTATTATGCTGTGCTTAGTGTAAAATACACACACGTTTGAATGTATAGCTATATAGGATGTTCCATATGGTTATCCCAACAGAATCATAAATATCACAGTTGGCATAAGCAATTCTGAAACTATGGAAACGGTGAGGAAGATGTTTAAATGCCTTCCTGAACAGGTGATGTCCATCAGCACTGGAAACCGATGTTACTACCTCATTGGGAGCAGCAGGTAGGCGTAGAAAGATGTGCAAATGCAATATGACATTACAGTTAAGATAATGCAACACTGAGCCACTGCCCCAAGGCAAGGTCCTACTCCTCACAGCTGCTCCCAGCCCCTCCTGTGTCTCGGCTACTGATGGCACAGCTCCGGCATGAAATGATTCAGCTGGTTGATCCCATGGAAAACGGCTCTTTTCTATATCAGTTTTTTCCCTCCCGTGGCTGGGTTAATTTTTGCCGGTTCAGACAGATGAGCTAACCTTCCCTGCAGCCACGCTGGTACAATGTCCAACATGTGAAGTAGCGGGAGCACGCAGCTGGGAGCGAGGATGGCAGTGGCAGTACATCAGTGTGGCCGTGCCGTGTCAAACCGTACTGGTTAAGGGTCAAGGAAGAGCAGAGGGCTTTGTCCCAGCAGCTCCTGGGAGTTAGGGAAGGTTCTGCTCCTTATGGATAAATGACAGGAAATAATCTTGCCCTGGAAAGTAGGTTGTTAATCAAGAGAAGCAGATGAAAGGGGAAAATTTCTCCCAAGGGAAAACAGATCCCAGAAGGAATTACTGGGTTCCTTACTGCAGTAGGGTGGTGTGCTCCCTGCTTTCCCAGGCTGCAATCCTGTCCTCAGCACGGGCAGAAACTGCTGCTATTGAGGTGATCAGCCAAAGCTCGGTTAGGTGAGGGAAGACATTTGGCACAGTGCTCCTCTGCTGCTGTTTCCCAGCTTCTCCAGTTTCCCGGCCACAAGCGTGGCAGAGGGTTTTCTGCCTTTATGCAGAAGGGCAGCTGATGTGTGAAATGCTGGTCAGCGCAGAAGAAAAACACATACCTGTGGGTTACTTGAGTGTGCCACCCCACGCCTTCCCCCAGGGCACTGCTCTCACAGCCCACGCTCAGTGGGAAGCGTTCCAGACTTAATCCAACTAAATCCACCTCAGGCGTGAAACAGGGCTTCAGGGGTCCTTTAGTGGCATGTTCCTCATCCTGCTCACCCAAACGCATTCCCAAGCCTTGTTAGATGTCCTTATGGCCTCGTTAGATGTCCTTACGGCAGGACTAGGCAGAGCAGCGTTACACACAGAAAATGAAGCATAAGGCACCACCCCACCCCTCTCCCTCCCTCCTGGTGCCTCTTGCACGTGCACACACAGCCCCCTTTGCACATCTTTGAGCTCCCAGTCCTCGGCTGCACCTCCCTGAGGTCAAACTTTGCCACCTGGCTATGGCTACCCAGCATCTCTCTTGAAAAGAAGGTGCAGATTTCCCCCGCTGATTTCAGGAAGCGTTATTTTGGGCCCCATAGGAAGAAGTGGGTAGGCAAATGGGTTTTCCTTGTGTTTTACCTGTGAGCAGGTTTTCATTTCTATTGTTCCCCCCTACAGGCAGGAAACAGAGGAGTGGGTCACTGCGATATCTTCAATCTGCTGGGAGTCCAAAAGAGGTGGATGCTGCCCTCAGGTGACATGTTACTGCACTTGATTTTAGAAAGAAAAGTTTGTAATTTCATTAGAAACCTGTGCAAAGGGGTGTTTTGGCCTTGCAAGTTGTCTCTTGCCTTGGCTAATCACAAATTCATTTTCCATATAAATCCTGTACCCTGGCTTTATGCATTAAGCAGGCACTGCACAGTCTGTCTGAGCTGGGATTGATTTTACATTGAAGGAATCTCTTTGAAGAGCAAGGCACATGGAAATTAGGAGGTGATTGACATTATGCTGCAATGAATTGCACCTTTGATGTGCCAGAATGAAAACTCGTGTGTTATTCTTAACCGTGCGCTTTCTGGTTATATTTACATGCTGTTTTACAAACTGATCCACATCTAGTCTGTCAGTGTAGGAGCAGCTGGAAGCTCTGTTGGTTCAAGCTCTGGCCCAAGTTTCTGTACCTCCTCAGCCAGACAGGGCTACTGGCTCAGATTTAGCACCAAGCTACTTACATCCTACAGCTTCCACTCAGCTCCAAGTGCAAGCAGGACAAATTGATGTCTGCCTGAAAAACGCCATGCAGACAACCTCTCTGAGCCGTGAGAAGTGAACTTCTTTGGATTAATGGGATGCGTTGGTCCATGTCCATCAGGTGCTTGTCTTCTTAGACTGCTGTCATCTTATTTCTAGAACCAGGATCTTCCAAAATCAGAAGTCAGAAGCCGACCATCCTCTTTGCCACTAGTCTTTAATTCTGGAGATACAACCAGTTTCCCGGAAAGGCAAAGCTACCAGAAGGTAAAAAGATTAGCCATCCTTAATAATGGGTTTGCTCCTAGTGTTGACTGAAATTTGATTTTTATAGTTGCTTTTTGCCCCCCAAAAGTTCTTCATAGTTTGTGGAATGGGTGCCCAGGTGGTGTGTCCTGCTCTCTGGTGGGGTTCCTGAGTAGGATCTGGATGATAAAAGCAGAGTCCTCACAAAGGAAGGACTTTTGAGGAAAGTCTGCATGTAAGCAAAGGCAGATGTTGACGACAGTGAGGAACGATATTCGTTGGCTGTCTCAACTGACTGGCAGAGATTAGTGGGCATAAAACAATCCCCTGCAGATTCCCTTAGACATACCTTGGCAAAGCCATGTGATTTTTTTTTTTTTTTTTGACAGCTGCTTCCCACATTCCTCCTGTTTTGGTTTGCGTTTTTCTTTGTTTCTCTTTTTAAAGCCTAGAGGGAAGTTCAGGTCCAGTTCCAGATCTTCTCCTTTAATATTTAAATAGAAAGGAAGGAAAGCATTGCTGCTGTCCCAGAGATTGCAGTTCCCATCCTCTGCTGACAGGCTGCATAGCAGCCGAGGGAGTGTGGATTTCTCTAGTCACCAAGCCGTGTGGAAATGGTCCAGCTGGAGGAAACTGAATACAGGAGGAGCACCTTCAGGAGAGGACAACTTTTTTCTTTTGCATACAGGAGAATGGTCCCTCGGAAGACAAGAACAGGCCTAATTCAGATCCTGGCCCTCACCAGTCTCGGTGTGACTTACCCAGAGCAGTTTATTCAAGCTTGGTAAGCAGAACAAATCAAACAGCTCTTGACTTGTTCAGCCAGAAGAAGTGACTGTTGGCTCTTACCTCACCTGAGTATCTGTAACTATAGATTATTCATCTACTTTCCCAGCACACTGAGTTGGTTTTCACTCTGAAAGTTTCCTAAATGTAGTTAGTCTGCTGTCTGGTTTAGCACTGAAAATAACCTTCCAAGAACTTGTTTAAATAGCCTTTGTTTACTTTGTTTCTTAGAGGCAGAACCTCAGAGTGTCTGTGCAGGAATTGCACATTTGATTGATCCAAAGACCCTGAAAAGTCATGAGGAAACTTGCTCGTGACTTCGTATCATGGCCACAGAGCCAGTCTTGTTCCCGCTGGGCTTGTGTTATACACTTCTCGAAAGCCCATTTGTAGGTTTTTTCTGACTCCTACAGAATGTGCTTTTTATGTCATTTATACCAACAAGGAACAAGAACATATTCCTCATCTTTAATTTCTATTCAATGCCATTTTCTTCTCTACATGTAAGGGAGTAATTAGTTTAATTTACTTTACCTTGAAAACAGTAATATATTCTGTGGCATATTTAGCAATTATTAAAATGATCACCATGGAAACCAAGGATGTAAGCGGAGAGATAAAAAACGGTTGCATCACAAACATGGCATGGGGAAATGTACTGGGAGGCAGCAAAAGACTAATTACCATACTCTTCATTACAGTGAAGTCAACAAGGAGACATAAAATAAATAATTTATCTTTGTGACTTAGAAAGGTAAACTTGGTGGAGGGATTAATTTCTCCTTGACTGATCAAATTGCTGAAAAACTTAGTGTTATTTCAGGTATTTATGAAGGCAGGATATCACTCAGGACACAAAGGATCCAGTGTCAGATTTCCAGCTCTCTGGGCTATGTTCTGGTTCGTGGAGACTTCTCATTAGTCACGGAAATCCCAAAAGCATTCTTTACCTAACAGCAGTTAAAAGGTGCTTGAAAAGCACAAGCATCTCCCAATCCACTTCTAGATTTCCTATAGAAGTTTTTTTCTAGTGTAAGGATTTTAGAACTGAATGCAAATAAAAATCTTTTGCACACAAGTGACCCTAAATGCATGCAGATCCGTACGTGAAGGGCTTAGCCCACTTGATTTAGAAACAGGATGACAGGTTGTGAACACGCAGTCAGTTGCAACTGCCTGGTTACCACAAATCCATCTATGAGGACTTGGTGTTAGTGGCCAGTTTTGTCCACGTACAGTGGATCTCAACAGCCTGTGCCTAAAATAAACTGGCTCTAAGCATATTCTTTCTCCAAGGAGAAACAAGTCTTCCCAAGTTTTCAGTGGATGTTTGGTTCTATTACTTCTCCATGTAAATGAAAAAATACACGTTAAACAATCTGTGTAACAGAGCCTGTGAAATACAAACACGTTCTTTTTTTTTGAAAGAGTGAGGAAAATCTGCTGTCATCGGACACAGATGAAGACATCAAAAAGGACGAGGAAGATTATTACCAAACTCCCAGCAACATCTTAGCAAAGGTAGTTTATCAGTTGTGAGTTCTGTCGGTTTGTTAATAGCTCCAAGGAGACGGGAGACTTCTTAATGAGCCAAAGAGGAACTGGTATGAGGAACCACTAGTGCCTTGCAAAAGAAATACGTAGATAAAGCAGTGGGTAACAGAGCTTTCCTTTTTACAAGAAAAAATACATTAGACTCATTCAGAGGATCTTTCTGGTAGAAAGTAGCATTTTGACAAAAACATTGCTGATTTTGTTGAAATTCCCCAAATTGACTGTTTCATTGTAAATGGCTTTTGCCTACTGTATCACAGGGCTGGGTTTTTTTTCCCAAAAGTAAGAACTTCATTTTGAAAATGTAGCTGTAGATTATTTTGATATATTTTAAATTTTAATTCTGTGGAAGCATCAGTAAGCTGCATAAATGAAGCGGTACGTTAAAAACGCTGTGAAACATGTTGGTATCTACATTGCACTGTGAAACAAGGGAGCAGGAGAAATCACGTTGGTTATTTTAAACAAATTTTGGCACCGAATTTGGAAGGCCAATTTCTCTAGGCATCCCATGTAGTTAGTGGTCAGGAGAAGCTAAGTGGTCAGTCTCCTGCAAAAGTCAAAAGCCTCTCTCCAAACACTGTACAGCTAACTGAAGGACAGAATAATATGATTTTGTCCTATCACCTAAGTGCTTTAAGTTACGCACACCCAAAGTACAAGAGACTTTTTTTCAACCTGCTTCAATTAGGGAACTATTTGTTGTGATGGTACTTTGGGATATAGCTGGTTATGTCCCAGCCTGAGAGGAAAGCAAATGGTAGTGTCAGTAATACCAGATAACATCAACCTCTAAGTTTCAACTGTCTTGCTAGCTCACGGTTTCTGGGAGGTGACTTATTTGGGGAAAGCCAGGCAGTATTAGCCAGGTGTTTAAACAGCTTGAGCACTGAATAAGGAAGTTAGGAAGATTTTTTTCTGTAGGCAGAGCAAGGATATTTACGTATTACGTTGTTTTGTCTTTCCAACAGTGCGCTGATGAAGTATCAAAGCCTGACCCTACAGCTGAGTCTGATGCCCCTGTGCAAGAGAAGCCAGTGCAGAACCCAGTAAAGGAGAACATCTATATGTCAATGAAATCACTGTAAGTCACTTCGTTAAGGTTTCGCAAATTTAAAGTGACACAGCGGTGAAGATAGAGTTGTCGTTTGTGGTATTTACGTAACGATATCTAAAGGCTGCATCTTGTTTGAAGGAGTCTTCCTTTGGTCTTGGTTCGCAAAGTTCAGAACTCGTGGGAAATTCAAATGCACCAACATGAAATTTAAAGTCACATTGCAAACTCATGCCTTTAGACAGGCTCTGCCTATAGGATGCAGCACTTTTTGTTGACTCATAGTGTTTGTAGGTTTTCGTGACAAGGAAGCTGGGAGGAGACTTTT